TGGAATCTTCCAAAGCGGTCAGTTTATAGGCTTTAATATAGCCTTTAATATTGTATATAGTGGTGTATGTATATATTTTTTTATTTAAATTTGCCTTTAATTTGTTTTTTTATATTTTTCTGCAAAAAAATTTTTCTGTCACTTTATCCTTTCGAACTTATGTGATTAAGTTTTTGTTTTCTCTTACATATTTTCTTACTCATCTTATCTCATCCGTTCATTATCTCTTTTTTTTTTCATTTTTTTTAGCGTTACTCTTATATTTTTGTGTTAATTCCGACTTTTTAAATAGTATTGTTCCTTATACTTCTTTTTTTATTACTTGTATTAATGCAGTTTTCTTTCTTTCTTCTTATTTTTTACTTTATTTGTTTATTTTATGAAGGTGTCGCTCCATTGACTTGTTTTTAATATGAGTGACACCGAACATAAATTTGTAAGTTTTAATTAAGTTTGTTATTTTTGATTTATGGCTAATTAACCATAAGCGCATGCGTAGTATGTACAGTAAGGTTTTTGTTATCCTTTTATTTAATTAAATAAATGGATAAAAAACTTTGCTGTACATACTACGCATGCGTCAAGACTGTCAAGCATGGCGTACATACTGCACATCAAAGATCAGCCTGGGGATTACATATGCAAATGTTGGATCCATCTCTTTTCACAAATGTAATTTTGACATTGTTAGAAAAAGAGGTCTGTAGTATCTCTCCAGGTTCATAATACGGCCTTTCAATCGTGTTGAAAATGGCAGCCATATGTGCGTTCAAAATTTAAATCACTGTAAAACTTGTATCTGGGTTTGCCCTGTCCTCTGACGTGCTGAAAACGGCTAGCAATATGTGCGCATGAAATTCAAATCACTGTCAAAATAATTTTAAATATTTAATTAATAAAATTGAAAGGAAATAATGTAAAAAAAATGTTTTGGAAATACAAATGAGTACAAAATTATACAAATAAGTACTTTCAGAGTACAGGATTTGAAAAAAGTACGGTTTGTGAAAAAAGAGTAAAAAAACTCAGTAAATGAGAATAGCAGGTCACCTTAATTGTCTACATAATTTTTTGGTAGATTTCAAAGTTCTTGCAAAAGATGATTTTATCAATAAAAATATTGAGTTTAAAATCAATCTTGCTGTTATCATATGTGATGCACCAGCTAGAGCATTTGTAAAGTGTATTAAAGGACACAATGGTTATAACTGATGTGAATGTTGTGCTTAGAAAGGAGAGTGGTGTGGCAAGATAATTCTCCTACATATTTCACTAATTTTAAGCACTGATTCAGATTTTTTGTCATTAAAAGCATTCTGAACATCTTAGTGGTGTGTTAAATTGAATTAAATTTTGACATGGTGACAAAGTTTCCTTTAGACTTAATGCATCTAGTATGCTTAGGGGTAATGCGAAGATTTCTCAACTTATGGTTAAATTGCCCAAATGTTATAAATTGTCTCAGATTGCAGTCAATACTTTATCTGGCGAATTGTTCCAGATACGTCATTACGTTCCAAGAAATTTTTATAGAAAATCAAGGTCTTAATTAGATATTAAAAAATGGAAAACAACTGAGCTTAGACTATTTTTAGTATACACTGGACCAGTTGTTTAAAGGGAATGGTTTAGCCAAAAATGTATTCAATTTTTTAGTTTTTTTAGATTTTTCAGTTGTAGTTCTACTTTCATAATGTTTGATTTTGTTGAAGAAATATGTTAATTTTGCTTTTCAGCTACTTATTTTTATATGTGAACTTTATCATAAGGATCAACTAGTGTACAATGTCCATTCATTAGCACATATAGAAAATAATACAGTTAAATTTTAGGTACTTGATAGATGTCCCTCTTTCAAATACAAAACTTCTTCAGGTCAATTAAAAAATGTTTGTCTAGGGGGCTTATTTGCAAATTTAGGGGCCCTTTTACAAATGTAAGGATTTTTTTTTTTTTTTGATTTTTATTTAGATTTTTATTTAGTTTTTAGGAATTTTGGGGCCCTTATGACAGATTTTTTTTTGGAATGGTGGGCTTGTATCTAGTAGCCATGGCACTGTATATAAGGTATATACAATATATATCAAATTATATACAATATGAATAAAAAAATATATTTATTTAATAATTTTATGTAATTTATTTATCAGTAACTAAAGGAATGTTATCAATTTATTATATGAATCATAAGCATGTGCTTTTCTATTACAAATACCTTTGATAGTGAAAATTACATTTTTTATCTGAAGAGAGTTGGGAGAAATGGTAAGAGTTTTATAACATATTAAAATTAATGTATGTCTTACCAATAAAATTTAAAACTAACAGTTAAACTTAATTTTTTACAGTTCATATTGAAACGAGATATTGTGTAAAGAGGTTTTCAAAGAAGTCGTTTTAACAACAATGGAAAAGCTTCCGGTTCCCGAGATAAACGTGAAAGCATTTGATGCATGATTAAAGAATCGTTCAAAAGTTTGCTTAATTTTGACAGTGTAATTTTAATTACTTTTTTTTTTAAATGAACCATTCAATTTATATAAAAATTTGCTTTTTCTGTAAAATTTTAAACATTTAAACGTAGTTTTGCAAGATTTGCAATGGGTAAACCTCGTGGGACCCTCACAGGATACCCGGCGGGCATACATATATCAGCCCCAGAAGAAAACCGCGGCCATGAACCGGCGGGTTCCCGATGGGTTTCCCATATGGGTCCTATTTGCAGACCCAAATGGGTCCCTTAGGGTTTTAAAGTACGAGATTTGACTGGGACCCATACGGGATACCCGGCGGGCTAACCCATATGGGTCTCATATGGAAACCGCGGTCATGATCCGGCGGGATACCGTTGGTCTTCCCATACGGGACCCAGTTGACGACCCGTATAAGCCCCGTACGGTACCCGTATGTCAATGTTGGCTGGGTGTAATGTTAAATTACACATAATATCAAAAATATATTAAAGAAATTGTATTATAAATATTAAAAATTATGTACACTCTAGACCCGTAGCTCCAGGGGGCAGCAGAGGCATTTGCCTCCCCCTGTCCCCAATAATTTTTTAAATAAATAATTTTGAAGAAATTGACTAAAAAAATGACTAAAAAAAAAGGTCCATAAAGTACTGCCCCCTTCCCCCCAAAAAAAATATATATATATGTATATAAATATATAATTTTTGATCTTACGGCTCTGCACTAATAAAAAATTAAGTTAATTAATTTTATTTTTTAAAAGTATTAAATATTTCAATTTAAATTGAAAATCTACTTTTTTATACCTAAAATAAGTAAGATATTTTAATTCAGGGTTCACAAAGAAACATATTTTAAGTTTTAAACAACTAACAGAGACGAACCAAAATTGAAAAATTTGATTTATTAAATAGCTACCGATTCTAATAGCAATTTTTTTTTTCTGTCAAAAGTTATTTTAAATTAAAATATCTTTACTTCAGCAAAACCACCTATTAAAGTCTTTTAATTTATTGAAAGTGTATAGGTGTATAAACCATTTTCAAAAAGCTATAAGTCACTAGCTCGTTGGCACATTGATCTTTTGCGTCTCAAAGTTAGCTAAAATTTTACCGTTTTTAATGAAGTAAGGTTTTGAGGCATGATTTTTAGACTAATATTGAGTTTTAAATAAATTCGATTTTGCAGTAAAAAAAAAAAATAGTTTTTTTTCCTGAAAAAATTGTAATATACTAATTTAAGCCTTGATTAACCTGAGACTTTTTTTTGGTGCTCAAAAGTACAAATTTTTTTTGACTCAATTTTTTTGCTTAATGTTTAAAACTTGATATTATAAAAAAGCAACACTTCCTCTCATTTCAAACAACTTTTTTAACTGCATAAAGTTGCTACGTCGAAACATGGAAAGCATTGAAAAACAACGTTTCAGAAAAATTCAAACCTCAATAACTTTTAAACCGCTTTAAATTATGGTCTCAAATTTTCAGGTTTCTCTTATGAAATAATTTGAAGAAATCCCTAAAATTTTCAAAAAAATTCAATAACTTAACTATTTCAAGTTGCCTAATTCTTATAAAAAACGACTCTTAATATACAATGTATTAAGTAATGAAATTGAAAAATACCTTGAAATAATTACCTAAAAATGTACCAACTTGATTGCGCATGCGGTGTTACATTGGTGAAAGGAGAAAAAAGATTTCCTCACGAATCTAGGAGCACAAAACGAATGTTACTAAAGCCAATTGAAATGCATTTCGAGTTGTGGAACATAAACATTGTGACGGAGATAAAACGAGATAAATCCTAACACGCTCTAAGTTGTTTTAAATAACCACAAGAAAGATACATGAGACCATGGAAATGCAACTTTTATTCATGGAAAAACCGCGAACTTAGTGCTTGACAGATAAGCGCGCGAAAACCTGTGTGAACCTTTTGAATTTCTGCATGATTTGTATATTTTTTCTGTTCGGCTAATATTTATATATTTAGTATTAATGCTACTCAACCGCTGTTATTTTTGACGTAACTTTAGTAATGATGTACAATTTTCGATGTTAGGAGTGACTTTTGAGCCAATTGAAATATGTAGAAATTATTTTTATAAATTTTTAGTAATTAATATTTTATTTATTATTTCAATTTATTTGCATTTAAATAAGAATACAAAAAAGTGATACAGGTAATTGGAGAATTACTCTTATGCAACACCAAGTTTAAAACAGTAAACAGTGTCTCTGAATACTGTATGTTTTCAAACTCGATTTAAATAAAGAAAATGAAGAGGAATACACCAAATAATCAGGTAATAAAATCATTATTTTTATTAATTCTTCTAATAAAGTTATAGTTTTTATAAATTCTAACTCAGCTTTAAAATTAGTTGAAGCATTTATTTTGAACTTTAATTTTAGTTTTTTTAATTTATTTAATTTTAATTCATATAAAAAAATTTAAAACTTTATTTCTTTATGACAACTAAAAAAATTTAAATCCGAAAAAAAATTATTTTTAATAGACGAGCAACAAGTAACTTTCAAACATATTTGGTTAAATTTTAAAAAACTTAATAAACTTTTAAATATACTAAAAGTAGCAATATTACCAGTGAAAAACGTTTTAAAAAACAAAATAATAATAAATAAATAAATTGCATTTGTTACATCTCGACATAATACAAAAAATTACTAGCGCGTTTCGTACTTTAAAAACTTTTCTTTCTCATTCTTTGCTTGTTTCTGAGAATTACATCGATTGTGAACCGTAAAAGAGATTTAAATCGAACGATTCTCGAAGATAATTTGGTATGCGTGGTTTAGGCCTATTCGCGTTGAACCTATTTTGAAT